GTGATTATTAAACATACGTAGCTATAAACTGAATAATAAATAAGTATGAAGTATTTAAATAAAACACTTTTAACGGTTTAAAACGCAATATATTAGTTAAACTATTTGAAAATGATTTTTAACTTCGGCCCGACGTTTCGGATGCCTTGCAGCAGCCGTGGTCACGGGGAGACTCGTTACATGTACGTTAAAGTGTTTTATTTAAATGTGTACTACTCGCGTAAACTATAGACAGTATTTAAGTATGAAGTAGTTTTAGGTCATATGTAGGTTAATTCAAGATGTCCAAATTTGGGTAAACGAATGTAAACCAATTTTTAATTCCCATTTTTTTCAACACCTCTCTACATATAGCTATTGAAATACTTATCTTGTGAAATACTTGTCGATGTCATGTCTTTCAGTAGCTTTTAACAGCGATATTAGAAGTAGTTTATAAGCAGCGCTGACTAAACAAATAATTCGTGGAACCACTTGTCAATGCAGTATGAACTATAAATAAATATAAGTACCGTCAAAAATTTGCGTAATAAATGACCTAAAGAAAATGGATGTGATAATTTTTTAAAACTGTTAAAGTCCCACAGCTGGACGCGTCTTTAACGGCTACCGCGCAAGTTAACTAATATAAATTGCGTTTCAATCCGTCAAAAGTGTCCTATTTACAAAAAATCTTTAGATAATAGGAACCCATGTCCTAACATTTTCTTTAACACAAACGCCTCACTATTTGGAGTTTTAAATTTAGCAAGTTATTAATGTTTAATTATTATATTCTAAATACACAATATGTACGTATGGTATGAGCGCTGTCTAACAGACAAACAATAGGGTTTTGCTGAAAATCAGTGTACAGCATAACTGTGCTGCAACTTATGCTGACGCAAGACCCTTTCTTTTGTCATCACCTTTTATTTAATGAAATTTATTCTTTTTTATTAATTAATTCAATGTAATTACATTTATTCTTTAGCATCTAGCATTTTACTAAATGAATGCCAAATAAAGAAATTTATTCTTAAATTGTGTAAGGCTTTCACGGCCCGCCATCACGAGCAGACGGCATCATCAATTATATCATCTCCTGATGATGCCATCCCCTCGTGATGGCGAATCATAGAGAACCTCTTCTCGCTTACGTCGACAGAACAGCCCGAAAAACAATGATAAGATTTATTTTTATTATTACACATTAACTGATTTCTAACCAAACAAAGGCTCCGTTCTTACAGTTTTACACTAAGTGTTAATTAACAAAGACATGAAACTTCAACTATCCGTAAGATTACTGCAGCATCCATTTTAATATTGCCTCATTTCGTAAAACCATCAACAGATTCAGAGAAGCTATGCTGCGCGCGCGGCTTTCCATAAATCATTATTTATCGCCCTTTGTTAGGGGCGAATAGCCCTCAGAAATAGAATGTAGCGAGAAACGCTTTTAAATGAAATAGTCTGCTTCGTGACTTTGCATAAGTTAAATACGATTTAAGAATGGTTAACGATACAGGTTTTAATTAACATTTTTTAGTGTGAATACTATATATTCACATGTTATTGTATGTGATGGCATGATATAAATTAAAAATCTATTTAAAAATAAATTGCGACACAAAATTTTATGACACAACAATTATACAATATACACATTGCGCGGGAGTTGCTTGTAATAGGATGAATTAGACGATGTCGGTAGCTCAATTGGTTAGAACACGAAACCCTGTGGATGCCGGTTCAAGTCTCGGCTGTATCGTAAAATTTGTTCAATCTTAATAGTATTTTAATCTATTTTTAAAGTGTTATGTGTTTTTTATTTAACACGGGTTTGGGAGTCAGGTCTTTTTTATTGAGCTTAAACGAGATATGCTAAAATAGAATGTCTGGTTGTTTTTATGTTAAAACTAGGGGCCCGCATATTGTATATAACAACCTTACTCTTGAATCACTCTATCTATTAAAAACCGTTGCGTAGTTTTAAAGATTTAAGCGCACATAGGGACAGAAAAAGTGACATTGTTTTATACTACGTAGTGACGAGCATTTAAAACAGTTATTATAAGTCAGTAATTCTAGACAATTTACACATAGTCAAATAAATTATAGAACTTACGATAGATTAGTATGAGTTACTTATTATTTCCCGGGGGAAATTGAATTCCGAAGGGGATAAATACCGATCGAGCAACTAAGGAGCTATTATGCGGATGGATCAGGAAAACGCTGATGCTGCTTCTAGCGATGTTCTGCGCATGTGTCAAACTGTTGCCAAGTACCACGGCCATTGTACAGAAACCATATCTCTATGGTGGTAGCGATAACAAAATAATTTAGAGGAACATATTTCTCTTGCGTTAAAATTTCCTTTTAAATATAATTGTTGTTTTTCCACTTCCTAAGAAGTAAATTTTTAGATTGTAATGTGTATTTGAACAAAACACCTTTACGGTTTGAAACGCGATATATATATATATACGTAAAACTTGTTTACAGATTATTTATGCTTTGTAGCAGCTGAAACGTCGAGCCTTAGAATATTTTTTAAATATGTTTACCTAATACATATCAGGTTTTAAACCGTTAAAGTGTTTTATTTAAATATCTACTACTCGCATAAACTACAGACAGTTTTTTATGTAATAACTATGTTACCTACCTTCTTTGTAATTATTACATTGTATGTTATGTGACAATATTGCCAGAAATTTGGAATACGAACGATTACAATATTAATATCAAATATTCTTGGTAATGTATTAAAACATTTTACAAGTCCCTCCTAGACTGCCCGCTCCCAAAGTACAGTGGTTAAACGTGTTGCTTAGCTCGCGTAACGAGAGGATCTGGGTTCGACTCCTGGGAAGAGCCTGGGAAGGGAACAATTCAATCGGTACCAGAAATGTGTTTGCCCTACGCCCCATTGGGGAAACGGGGTTCTAAATTTTTTTTAATAATAAAGGACACTTCATTCACTTGATGGTAGGTCAAATACCCCAGCCTATAGCATCTAAACAAGATGCGCTGACGGCCTATTTTGGCTTTGACACTAAACTGAGACTGGAAATACTAAAGCAAAGCTTACAATAAACAAGTCATGATACAATGACCTGATATTATGCTTAGGTCTGTGAAAATTAAACACTGTTCTAGTATTTTTGCTGACCGTACACACTAGCGTTTCCATGAGGTCATTCACCGGAACCAAGGCAAAGGACACGGTTCCCCTTTTGTTTATGACATACGATGGATGTCTTGATGGTTCAGTGGTTGTCTTAAAGAATGCAATTAAAAATACAGCGCTAGCGAAAAAAAAAGTTAACGGTGTTTAAGTGTTGTCTGTAGTTTACGCGAGTAGACCTAAATAAAACACGTTTAATGGTTTAAAACGTGAAATATATTGACATTATATTTTATGTCGTATGCTATGCAGCGTGAGGTCAGAAGATGGAGGGTGTAATGTCGAAGTGGTATTGCTACCGTAGCACATTGACATTAACAGGTCGGGTCGTAGTTAAAATAAAGAAGATAAGCAATATTTTTCGCGTTTTAAACGGTTATTTTTTTTATTTAAATGTATTTAATTACCTATGTGAAAGATGTAAATTGAAGGGGGTGACTTTTATAAGCACGGTTACATATTATTTAGTAATTTTTCTTACGGTTTTTAAAATCAAATAACATTCACAATTAAAAATAAAGAAATTTCAATTATTCATTAATCTACATATATTTCATGTCATACTTCAAATGTATATTTGTAATAAATCGATTGATAACTATTTGACAATTCGCTAACCAGTTACTTGATGTAATATTTTACCGGCTCCTTGGTCTAATGGATATGTAAGGCTAACAATCAACGGGCCGTGGATTCGATCCCCATTGGGCCCAACATGAACAAGACTTCACGGAAATCTTGATAATAAATGTTTGAAATATCGACATTACGTTCGGCTTAACAAAAGTAAAGCTTAATCGCGTCGGTTTCAGTCTATAGAAGTCAAAAATCCAAAGCAAAATTGAGTCGACGGTGCGGAATCCTTTAAGATGTCTATAGATTCGGAGTAGTCATCTTCCATAGCGCCAGGTTGGCTGTATCTATGCACTCGATTATTAAAAATGGACTAAAGATTTAATAATCCCCATGTGCCCTGGGTGACCTAATAAACCGGGATGCCTGGGTCCGTTTCACCGCTCAATTATAACGCCCTGTCGACCACAAATTATTGCTTTCCCGGGATTTGAGCCAACCTTTCTTGCTAAACATTGCTAGACACTGTGGATACACAAGCCAGCACAATAAATAGATATGGAAATTACCTATACATTCAACGGAAGTAGCGAAATGAAAAATAATCTTTTCGATAGCATACATGTGTATGTACCTACAGTTAAATTTATTGGTTTGATAAGAATAATTAGCTTTACCAGTAAGGCAATATTGATTCTCTTACCTACAGCATATTTTTGTAGCTTATGCAAAGAGTACACTTTTAACGGTTCAAAACGCAACATATTGAACGTATTATTATCTCCGATCCGATGTTTCGGACACGTATTAAAAGTAAAATCTATATTTTGCGATTTAGATCGTGTATTTTACGTTCAATACCTACTCATTAAATCCGTTTATTAATGTCACCTCTCACCGTTTAATTATATGCATAATTAATATTCTGTCCGTTAATTTAAGCATAACATGCTTTACAAGATTTTATTAAATAGATCAATTGTCCATTGAATTGTTAATGTAAAAACTTAATTAGTTACTGTTTAAATATTATTCAGCTTTAATGTGTGTTTACCGCGAAAATAATCTTAATATTAGATGAACAAGTTTCAAAGCTCAGTGCCAATACCCAGGTCGCCCCAGTTCTATTAAACATTTGGGTCAATTTCAACAGCAAACATTACAAAATGGTTTGGGATCTACGATCTTTACATAACACCTACTATGTATTATTTAATGAAGAGGTCGTTATGTTTAATGGTTTAGAGCTCACCTGCAAATGAATGGGCACTTTTTTCACTGGCGCGTTGTTCATTTTCGTCGATTCACAACACTAAGCACGATTGTTTATTTATAAATTGAGCGTGGGCGGTGGAGTAATAAAATTTTCGCATAGACGAGATCTGTTAGAACATTCAAACACCCGCTTTCCCACAAATGTCGCAATGAACTGAAGTTCGTTATCGTAGCAGCGGTTGGCTCGACTCCGCTATCAGTTTATTGAATGAAGTTTCTACGTTCTATTGCGCGTGCGTGAAAATACTTTCCTGTGATTGGTTGATGAGAATGGATGGTTAAAGCGGGAATTTAGTATGTAACTTTTGTAGTAGTTTAAACGTCACACGCGAGATGTCGCTATAATAAAATTTTGTCTTAATAAAAATTGAGTTTAAGATAGTTTATGTAGCAATAAATGATTAAATTATATAAATATTGTTATTTTTTATATCTCTTAAAAAAACCTAATAAGTATTTACTAAAAGACTTGTTACATAAACGGATTGTACCGCGAAAAAGTACAACAGTTTCTTACTATATGTATTACGGAATAGTAATTTTTAATAATCTATTATTTAATACTTAATTTTGAAGTGGTCTAATAAAGCTGAACCATATTTAGTTATGCTAAAATGAGGCGAACGTGAAACAGTTAAAAAGTGTTATTAGTATGAGTTGCAACATTACAACAACAGATGGCACATTTAACAAAAAGCAAAAAGTCGATTATTGCGACAGGGGAACTAGCCCGTTCGTCCCCGTTCCCGGCGCGAAGTACCGACCAAAACATTCAATCGAAACGTGTCTGGGAGTCGCAATGGCGATGTTTCGCGCTCGTTTCCCTATTTCTTATTAAAATATTAACTATTTTTATACAGACGAACCTTTGGTGTGGAGTGTTAGTGAATATACCATTTAATTATCCATGCCTACGTTCCACCTGAAGCCAGGATTAACGGTGATAAATATTTAAGTATAGACATAAGATTCGGAGCATATTTTCGACTTTGTCATAAAAATAGACGAAGATCTCTGCTTTGAACTAACTGCGAAGGGAGAAGAACGATAGCTTTTGTGAATTAATATCGATAATCCACCTATTTCGTAAAACTAAAAAATATATATTTTTTTAATTTTTTATTACTGTCGTTAATATAGGTATTACAGTCATTTTTTGGAAATGAATTTGTTAATATATATTTCCACCGATATGTCATGTTTGTCTATGTTCTTTGTTCTTAGCTTCTTTGTAAGGGAAAGTTATTTTTATAGATGTAAAAGTATATAGGGGTTAGAAAACCGTATACTTTGTTTTTATTATGTTGTAATTATGATTCTAATCTCTTTCTTTACAAACTTTATTTATTATTATTATAGATATGCGCTTTTTAAATGAATTATTAATATGCCCGTGGTGGTTACGTTCTTATTTTTTATAGCTCGTGAATTGTAAGCACTACTATAAATGCAAAAATTGGTTTAAATGAAACACTGTAACGGTTTAAAACGCGATATATTTTACATAAACTTGTTTGAAAATTACTTTTAACTACGCCGACGTTTCGCTTTGAGCAGTCCGTACGGGGAGAATAAAAATAATAAAAATTTAATGTGTCTACTCGCGTAAACTACAGACGGTATTTAATAATGATTTTTTATGCTTTTATTGTATCCGATATTATCAGGCACTCGTGAAAACAAACTGAAAGCTTTTACTGATATGAGAGACACATATAATCAATCAATTTACCACGACACCTTTGTAGAGGACAAAGGTCTCGTATAACTTTCTCTATAAGTAGTGTCTATAAAGTCGTACTCAATAAATAAAACAATTTTAACCGTTTAAAACTCGAATTTATTTTTACAACGGATGGAACGTTCACGACGTTTGTAGCAGCCATTGTTACGAGGGGGGGGGGGGCTAGGTATATTTTTTCCATTTATATGTGTTTTATAATTAAAATAAATAACGTCAAGTCAAACCTGTTGATTCTATAACGTGTTACCTGTTAACGTCAATACAGCAGATTTTCAGTCTGTAGATTTGCGAATATCCAATGCCAAAATAGGTTGACAACGTACTTGTGTGTCCTCTTCTATCATAAAATAATATCTAATATTTAAGTATAAACCCTCCCTCCCCCGGTCTGTTTACTGCTACAAAGAATGGTTTAATAAAACTGCTCCGCTGCAAAAGTTAATATTTACAGCAATAAGCGGGCCACGTAATCAGACATAATCCACTTAGCCTTATCTGACCTTGGAAAGCTCAAGGTCGACAGCCGTGGACTGAATTGTTCAAATTTTATGCAATTTGCCTCTGTACGGTATTTCGGGCGAGATAAGCATTTGATCTATTGCGAGACTTTTAGAACCTTTTGTGTATGTACAAAGGTTGTCTGGAAGAAATCGCTATAGGCAACAAGGTCGCCTTTGTACTTACTCTTTAATATAACATTGTTCGTTATATAATGCTACTTTGAGACTTTCAGAATCTTTTCTGCAAACAAAGATTGCCTAGAAGAAATCGCTGTAGGCGATAAGGCCGTCTCAGTACTAACTTTTTAATATAAATAATTAATTTAGTATTACTATATTTTATTTTATTTGTTTGTGCAATAAAGTGTTTTATTTTTATTGTTAATCTTTAGGGTCTTACCTTAGGGTGTAAAATAAAAAAAAATTACACACATTTTTTGTGACAGAGGAGGTTAGATATCGATTCTTTTATTTTAAATAATAAGAAATTAACCGATGTTTAAAAAGCCAATAATAGCAGGAATCCAACTACTTAGGTATGTTATTACTACAAACGATAAAGCGACGCACGCGCAAATAAAAAGCTCGCCGTTCGCGCTGTTTCCAGATGAGATTTTATGTTATTTCGTTTTTACTACTCGATAAAACAGTTTAACGAATTAAAACTGCAAAGTATTATCTGCTTTAGCAGTAGATTGAACTAGTAATAATGATAATAAAACTGATTATAGGTTACTATACTACTCCACAACACGACTACTAAAAAATTATTTTCTTTGCACTAGAAACTTTACCATTTTGACTGTTTCAAACACGCTAAAACCGTCGAAACGTCGTCGATATCGTTTAATTAATTACGTTATATTGTTATCTATCGATTGTATAAATAGTAAATGTTGTGAGTTTTGTATAAATTCGCAGTCATTGCCAGTTAAGGTTTCAAATGTATCAAGAAATAACTTCAAAAAAGTCATAGAATTAAGATTGTCTCAAAAGGCGTATTGTTCTTTAAAATACTTCTTTAATGACAGGGCTGCCAGTGATAGGAATTGCTCCTCAGGTCATTAAATTCACAAAAATGTATTTATTATTAGTTTGTAAGACATGTTGAAAAAAGCCAGACTGAGTTTTTTGGGTGTTGTTCGTGTTGCTATGTTGTTTTTGAACACTCTGTAGAATAACGACAAACGGACAGACAAACATATTATTTATTTTTTTTTGACGAATCTGAATAATTTTTATAATTTTATAGAGAATAAATAAAAAATTTTTATATTATTTTGATTTTGAAAAGTCTTGGGTTCGAATCGCGGGGAAACTTAGATATACTGGACAGTGATACGGATACGGAAGTTATCAGTGCCATATGCCACAAATTGTACACAATAAATATAACGATTTTTGTTTGATTAGCATAAATTAGCCGGATTGTTACAAAATGAAAGACAATGGTCCTGAAATTTGTAGATGGGTCTTAACATATTAACAAACACATTTAAACAGTGGCCTCTGAACTCAAGTCAGTGAAAAATAAAGTCTAAACTCAATTCGAAAGAACGAATGTGATAGTTAAGGTCTGTAGCACTTCAGAATTCGTAGAGATTCTTGAAACATCAGAACAGTTCTTCAACAAATTGATGATGCTCACCTAAAAATATATATTTCAGTGTATTTATTATTTTATACGCTACAATGAACACTCATGAAAAACGGGATAGATCCAAATGATAAGGATGTAGTAATCAAGCACTGTTAACATTACAGCTTTGTCATCAGTGTAGCCTGGACGCAGTTAAGATACTCCTCTCAGCTATTTTTTTTACGCGGGTAGTCGCAACGTCAACATTGTGTCATAACAATAAATTAACTTTTAAATATAAACACTTACAAAAGTACTAGTAGTAGTGTGTAATAAGCATTATTATACAAAGATCTACACCATACATTGATATATTTCTCATCGAAGGCGGAATAAAGCAACAGGAAGAATCCAAGTTTGTGTCGTGTCCCGGGTCGGCCGTAAAATATCTAATCAAGACAAAACCGAGAGTGTGACTATTGCAACTATAATTGGTGCCACAGAATTGTCATCCCAGGCCCAAGAGTGATCTAAAAGTGTTGTGAAGAAAGTGAATAGCGCGATTAGCAATAATAAGAAATTATTGTTGCATTGCTTAGAGACTAATTTGCAACATCTATACGATATATTCGTCTCTTCTTACATAGCCTGTGTGGCGAAACGGTCTAGTCGACGGTAATTGCGCTTGAGGATCGAGTTCGAACCGTAGTCAACGAAGAAATTATTGAAACTTTTTATTAAATTTGTTGTTTTACAAACACATTGGAACTTAGTAACGTCGAGAGTTAAATCCAATCGACGCGATGAATAAATGTGCCGTTTGTGCGTTACCGCTCACCGACGAGTCGTACTATATGCAGTGTTCAAAACAAAGTTGCAGAAAGAAATTTGACTTAAAATGCCTGCGAATTGAGCATGAACTGTTTAATGCATTTACCGGCGAATATAAGATGCAGTGGATGTGCTCAGAATGTGTCGATAGCCCCTATAATTCTATATCTTTTGCGTCGCCTGATTATGTCAATACACAGCGAGGGCCGCGACTACGTGGGTCGTCACCCATCCAGACTGAAAGTTTACTTATGGGACAGCTAAAGGAACTGCGAAGCGAATTGGTTTCTCGCCTGGATGGCCAGGCAACAGCTATAAAATGTCTTCAAAAGCAGTTTCAGGAGACTAAGTCCAGTCTTGATAGT